TGAATACAATCCCACTGAGAATGCTGGGAAATGAGACGAGCAATGGTGGGGAAACTCTGTGGACTCCATACCGCTGATATAACCACCAGACTCAACAAGGCCTTTCTTCCTTTACAAGATGGGAAACTGTCCTCCTCAGCCACTGATCTCTCTGAGAGAGCAAATGTAAACTGGGCACTTTTTTTGTTCTGCAATGATTTGATATTTTATTGCATACTTCTTTTCCAGTTGTGTAGTGTTTTTAATCAGCATCATTCCAAAGAGTGGCCTTGTTTTATGGAGAGCAAAGAGCTCAGTGTTTGCAGATTCTCAGACTATTTACACTGAATCCTATTTCAAAGGAATGACTCACTGATGCACACTCGGCCTCAGACACACAGACAGAATAATGCTGTGAACTTCATGTTCTTGGCTCATTTTCCTGTCAGAGGCACAGCCGCCATCTCCGGGCTGTTGAATGACTTTGGCAATGGCGCCTTCGTAAAAACTCCTCGAAACTTGAAAATCCACTGCAGACGTTGCTCGAGATTTCCATGTTGCAATACCGGTGAGCACCACAAGAGAGAGACACATGGGGGGGCGGGCAAGTGATCACAAATGAGCCTTTGCTTTGTTATCATTTTTAGCGGTTGACGTCAAGACTAGCTGAGGCTTTACACCAGAAGTGCTCCACAGCTACACAGTGTATTACTCTGCATTCCTGAGGCTCCGAGCAGTTTACAACTTTTACAGTTCAAGCAATAACTGCTTTAATGGTCAAGTATGTGAAATATATTCTCTTTTACAAAAAATCATGATTGTGGAGCTGGGATGCAATGAAACTGAAAGAGGAGAGCTGATTGGTGCCTCACACACACAACAGCGTGGAAGTCTGGTACACACGACTATTCCTGTTTGATTTGACCTGAAAAGTGCCTTTTTAAAGCTGGAGCCATGTATAAACACTGAGAGCCAACTGCCCATTTCATGCAGATGTTTACCCCAAAACACACCTCACTACTCTGCTTTGACTTTGACATGGATGAGATGTTCGTGAACTCAGTAAACTAATGGACAGCTGGAAGTGAATACTGTCTCTGCAAGCGCTGAAAACTTCTGAAGACACGATGACTGCGAAACACGTGAGCGGAGCGTCTGTGAGCCAGCTTCAGAGGAATTCACTTCCTGCCAGCGTCTTTTACTGTGGTTGGAACAAAGTGGTTGTTATGCCGTGTCATGACAGGAGTGAGACAAAGGAAACTATTTAGGAGAATACAATACCCACAACATGGAGCACACATACAAATTACCATGTCTTTGTAAGTGATGCTCAGGATGACCACAAGTGTAAGCGAGGAGAGAAGAAGCTATATTTGAGATGTTGTCACAGAAACTGTACAGAAATCACATTTTAATCAGATCAAACAGCCAGGACATGAGATTCTGCGTTGTAAAGAAACTAAAACTACTGAATATAAAGGGTTGTTTGCATATGCAGCTGTTGAATTATCCAGTTTGCTATTGTGCACACTGATAACAATTTATATAACACTGCACTGGTTTTCTCTTAATGTTATGAATGTAATTTTTCTCACATAACTATGCAGTAACACTGAATCAGTTTTGCAGTCGGGTTGGGTCTTTACAGTCATCAGAGTCACATCTCTATCAAAAAGGGGATTTAAATCGTTCTGTATATAATGTCTTTGATGTCATTTGTTGTTTAACTGTGCCCATAAATATATTGATTGTGTAAAAGGCCTGAAGAGAAGGCCAGCACTGCCTTGAATGTGGACTTAATACAGTTCTCCACTATTATTTAGCTTTTCTGTTGTTCTTGGACAAAGCTGAAAATACATGTTTGTAAAAATCAAGTAGCCTGTGTTCCTTGTAACTTAATCATTGCAGTGGGAGTTTGATCATTTCTTTGTTTTCCCTTCATCAGTTTGTAAAATAATTAGTTAAACTCACCTAATATGGTTATATCCTGACTGCACACTTATATTCAGGAATGCTCTTTTCCCTGAACCCGTGCTCTCACATCCTTATATTATGACCGGTCATTACTGAAAAATGAGCTCTGATTCTTGTGTGTGTGAACCACAGCAGGAAGGAAACTGATCCGCCACCACAACGACGATCATCCAGCTCCTCTACTGTAATCCCAGCCTTACATGTGCCTGTGATGTTAACACTATTCGAGTTGAAAAGGTCACAGCCAGCAATGGCACATTTACTCAAGGAGACTTTGATCTCCTGGTGGGCCGAACATCCTGTCGGGCCTGCCCATAAACACCTCCAGGGGTACAATTCAGAGGGGTGATAAAACTGACCTGTAGACCCCCGGTCAAATAGAAACTGCAGAACATTGAGTGAGGGAAGTGGAGTAGGAGGGTGAAGAGGGATGCGGTGGCTCTGAAGTGGGCCCTCTGACAATGGTGGGAGGGGTTGACGCCTCACTCCTGGTTATTGGCAGGATCTCCCAGCTCTGACCTCTGCAGACCCGAGGGCAGGCGGAGGGGACGGCTGTCGTGAAATGCTGCAATTTTGACGTTGTTGGAGTTGTTCCTGCCAAGGACTGCAACAACCCTCTAACAGGCCTCTGTCAACAACCTCCACCTTCCCCTCTCCTCCCCCACTCTCTGCACCATTTCTCCTCAGCCCCCGAACGACAAGATCATGGTTTTGTTTTGTTATTTCATAGCTGCCTTATCATTCCCACCCGTGTGACCACAGAGGAACTTCAGATAAAAACTCTGGGCCTGTGCAGCGAGATGATGTAGACAAGGAAAGAATAAAGAGGTGATGAGAACTGTTTATTGCTGATAAACGTATGTTTATTTATTTTTTTACAAAACTGCTTTGAAGTATTTAAAAGCTTTAAAAATCTGTCATATATTTTTTATGATGTTTTTCCTGCAAAAAAAAAAATCTCTAGAAAAAGAAAAACTAATTTCTAATCCTTTAAAGTCCTTTGCACTGGAAAGAATTGGAGACAAGAAATTAAAAACAAACAACAAATGGTAACATATATTGATTTATTTTGCAGTGCAGTGAAGAAAACATTGAATACATTATTTTTTTAAAACCACATTCAAAATTATATAAAATAAAATAAAAAAATCCCCACACATCCAGAGTTTTTAGTGCAACAACAATTTAAAAAAATGTGGTGTGGATTACACATACATTCAAATCAAGAAGATGTTTTGTTTGTGTGTATATGCCTGAATTATACCTTGAAGTTCTATCAGAACAGGAATATTCTCTCCGTCTCCTCTCATCTCACTGCAGGCTTTGAAGTGTAAGTAGTATTGTGTCTGAGAGATCTCTCCATTTGTTTTCCTCTGAAGTCTCCCGGCCCCCCTGCCATGCATTCACTAGAATTTACAAGGTGTGTCATTTAGCCTGCGTTGGTTTTCTAATCTTTTGAATTGCTGAGATCAAACATGCTTCTTGTTCTCCTTCTTCAGAGCATCTTGTTTGGATCACATGCTTTCTTTTGTTTCTGATAACAACTGATCACAGCTCTGTGTATAAGGGTTGTAAACGGGTGTCACAGACCTACACTTAATAAGGTTTTTCATACAAGGATCCATGATTTTTTTCTACCCACTATTAATTTATAATACATTTTGTAAGAATTAAAACTGGAGTTGAGGGTACAACCCATAATCATTTGAATTGAATTAGAAAAAAAAGGATCATCAGAAATGTTCCTTTCCCTTTTTATCACACGTGGTTCCTCCAACAGGAAAAGTTAAAGTTCCACTAACCTGTGGTGGTAGAACAACAGATCACATCTTTAACTTATAACACCACAGTGTAGAAATTATGCATTCAAATTATCTGGGTGGTGGCATCAAATTATACTTAGTGATGGTGACAGTATTCATTATGACAATTACTAGTTTAATATTTGTTTAAATATGTATTTACAGTTAGTAAAGATTTGGGCTAATTTAAACTCCTGGTATATTGCTGTGTTGTTTAGTCTATAAAAATACATAATCATCTGATTCTTGATTTATTCCTCTCTGAAGTAAAGTTGTGTAAAAGTACAGCAGTAGTACAAAAGCAGAGTACACCACTGTCAGTAACTATCATGCCAGACTACGAATGTCAAGTATTAAGTAAACAGATAAAAGGGAATTAAATAGATCACCCCATAAATAAAGAACAAATGAACAGAAGAATACAAATATCACATAAATCAATAGGATTTTATTACTATTTGATTTATTTCATATGCGGCAAAAATAAAAGAAGCATTACCACAGTCAAAAATACCCTAATACCAATGAAACTCCATATTTCAAAAACACAAGTACCATGAAATTTAAATAACGTAAAGAACTCAATGTATCCTTATTATTACTGTTGCATTCACATGCTTATAGTGTTTCATTGATGCAGTCGGTTGTGTTGGAGCAATAACAGCCTATTTTATTTACCATGACGGTAAAAAATATTTGCTAAACTTATCATGCATGAGTAAAGTCTTATTTTGTTGAACAACTGGTAAATATATGTTTTCAAAATAAAAGAAGTGAGTTACAGTGAAATGCAAGTTCCTCAAATGTGTAGTCGATAGTACTTCAGTGAATGTAGCCCAGTTGTGATATGTTGTCACTTTGTTCATATGATTGTTTATTTCATATTATTATAGATATTATACATTACATATTTTTAACACTGAATGTGTCTATATGATTTGGCTCAGTACCATTTTTCATGTGTGCACTAAATCTAATTTTAAAATGCTTTCATTAAATCTGCTTGTCTGCAAACTTTTATTTCTCATAAAACTTATCATTAGTTTCCATCAGATTGGTGAAGACTTGTCAATCACTTGAATACGAACCACAAACTATGAGTCCTTCGCCTTCCATCACATTGTTGTTTCCCACTGGCAGGGATGCAGCCAATCACGAGGCTGCGTTGAAAGCTGAGACGATGGGAGGAGGAGGAGGAGGAGGAGGAGAAAGGGGGCAGGAGAGCTCGCGGGAGCTTTTCCTGTCTCATCTGAAGTGAAGCTGCGGGAGAGGAGGCAGTGCGTTCATCCTGCGAGCTCACACACAGGAAACCTTGTGTTAAACCCTCAGCAGCAGCAGCAGGGACTGAGCTGAAAGAAGCGAATGTGTGTGATCACTGGAGGAAACTAGGGATTACAAAGCCTGCATTTTACAACGCGCTTTCCCGTGCGTAAACATGACCAAACTCTCCAGTGTGCGTAACTAACGTGAGAAGCCTGTGCTCGCGGTTTGATTTGGAGAAACAACTGAAGTTTGGATCATATTATTTTGCGCAGTTTTCTCTGAGGACTGCAGACTGAAGGGAAAAGAAGTTCTGAGACGCACCGTTCTGTCCAGGAGGATTTTGGAGACTGAGGACATGAGACTGCTGGCTGTTTGCGCGCTTCTGCTGTTCAAAGTAAGCAACAGATATTTACTGATTTGGTTAAACACGCACCTTTCATCACTCTGAAGCCTTTATAGCCTCTTATCGTCATAACACCACAAGTTTTTAAACGTTTATAAACGTTTAAATATCCCAGACGAGATGTGAGTCTCACCACAGAGCCATTTTTGATCAGAGTCGTGCCACTCTGCTCCTGTTGGCGAATATGTTGCCACTTTATATTCATCAGGGGAAAGATGTCTGCTTCAGTCTCATTCTGTGTTTCTACCAAACAGTTCCTCACTTTGCTTTTGTCTCTCAACCTTACATTCTGGAGTGTGGCCTATATAACCTCCTCCACACAGGCTCTTGTAAACCTCTGTGGCCGCAAAACATCTTGGAAAAATATGTGGAGATTCTTTGTTTTGTGTTTACAAGTCAAACTGTGAAGTCAGTGATCTTTTTTTATCATTCACATGACATACATCCATTCAGCAGCCGCCAAAGCCAGAATGTGCTTAACAACTTGAAGAAGAACTAACACACCAAGGAGCGCACAATTAACCATTAGGCAACCAGCTCAGTGTGATAAATGAAGTATTTTAATATGGAGAAATAATACTTGTGGTGTTTGATAGCGTATCATTAAGCCAGGATCAGTGGAGAAGAAAGCCCCTGACTTCACAGTTGCAGACAATTATTTGACACTCATCCACTCCGAAAATCCCATTGGGCATGTAGACCTGTCTGGACACGCTCATCACACTCAAAGCACTTTTGTTAGATCAAAGTAGCCCTACTTAGAAAAAAAGATGTGCATCTCTCTCCTATTATAAGGGTATTACATGGGAGACCTAAGATATTGTTTCTTATCCGATTTTTAGCAGAACGTTTAATTTTTTCCCTGGGAAAAGTTCATTTCTTCTGTCAAATGGTTCCCTCATTACTCTCTAGATGATTTAGAGCAGACAAAGACTGGATGTTACAGTATCTGAGCACACTGCTAATGGTTCTCTACTGTTTAATATGTTCCTATGGGTCCTACTGCCTCAAGAGTTGCCACATTTGTTGCTTATACGGCAGCTCCATGTGAAAAAGTGGCCTTATAGCTTGCAGTGTTGCTGGGGTCTGGATATCCGGAGCAAAGCAATTATCATCATTTTCTCCCAGTTTGTGGTGTGTGTGTATGTGTGTATGTGTGTGTGTGTGAAGGGGGTGGGGGGTGACAGTGGCTAGGGAATGGTTTAGTTTGTTACCACAGTCATTCGAATTTCCATACAGCAGTTAAGCAGCTTTCTTTACTTTCGAGGACAGATTTAAGAGTCATTTTGAAATCTCAGCTCTTCAGTTACTGTTCAAACATCGGTAGATTAAAAGACGTCACTGTTTTGGGATGATTTAGGATTCAGGATTATAGTGTTGGTCGGGCTTTCTGCTTGAAAGAAGAAAAAAAAAGAGAAACACAGGCCCTTTGATTTGTCTCTTATCCTCCCTGTGTCCTAATGACAGTGATCAGTGCAGATGCAATTCACACAACTTTCCCCTGATCTCAGGCCTCGTCTGCTGAATGGCTCCTGTCTGCTGCTGTCACAGTCACATTGTGAAGACTCATGGGTCGGTGTCGTCACAGAGACCGAGGGAGAGAGAGCTTCCTTTTGTGCGTTTATTTTCACGCAGATTAGATTAACTGTGGAAACTCCGGCCAAGGCGCTTCAAATGTGGTCTCACTTCAGAAGGGCACAGGAAATGTCTCAGGCACGGAGGAGGCTGTGAAATGCGTGTGTGTGTCTGTCTGTGTGAGATCCGCGATGACTGAGTGACTCCAGCAGCCGTGGAGTTGAGAGCCCCATTGAAAGCACTGCTCCTCGGTGGTCTGTCTGTTCTCACTGGGGAATCTCTTCAGATTGAAGCTTCTTTACCTAAATGGAAAAAAAGCAACTGCAGCCTCCTTCTCGTCAGACTTTATGCCCCGAGGTGACAGAGGTCTCATGCAACTGAATGATATCTGGAGTATGTGCAGCAAATTAATCTTTGGTGGAAAATTACAAAATAAAAAGTAATTCAAAATAAAAGTCCAAAGTGTGAGATCGTAGGCCTCCCATCAAATGTCGTAAAAAAAAAGACCTCACAGGAATCAAAATGATACTAAACAATTTAAAAGTACTAATGTATTTTACCTTCTGATGTTAAAAGAACTGAAAAACAAAGCAATGTCAGAGATCTCATATTAAATGTTGCTCTTGCAAAAAATGGTGGAAACATGTAAACACGTACACACATTGCTAGCCACCTTTCTTAAAAATACACATTTGAATTTTTTAAGATAAGATAAGATAAACCCGTATTTGTCCCACCACGGGGAAATCTCTCAACAATAAGGGGGATTATTAAAAAAAGAAACATTAGAAGGAAGCAATAATAATACCAGTATTACATAAGTAATCATTTATATAATGTAACTATAATATATAGACAGTAACAGAATATGTTCATTATAAATAGGATCGCACTTATAAGATATTGAACATGCACAGATAGAAAAGGAGTATTGTTAAATTCAACCTGAGGGAATTTGTTATGCAAGGCTGCGTTAATACTGTTTCTTTTGTATGAAAGGAAAAAGTTTTATATCTCCCTATCACTCAGGTTTTTATCAAAAATAAATCTAAATATTTAAATAAGTATCCATCATGCTGATAAACATATAGTGGTAACCATATACAGCGTGCTATTTCAATATATACAGCAGATAAGGCCTCAGTCATTCCTCCACTGACTAGATCACTGTTCCCTCTCGTTCTCCAGTGGGGCACGGAATAAAAATATTTCACTGTACACTGGGCAGCGGGTAAAGTGCCAAACCATCGGCAGCTCCTGCTCTGAGCTGCAGAGTGGGCCCTGCAGGCAGGCTTACACACAGCTGCACTAGTAAATCCACCCAAGTCCAAGGTGGAGGTGAAAATAAAGCAGAGCTGCCGTCGCCAAATATTTATAAAAGTATAGATTGAGGGCTGAGCTGGTGTTGGCAGATCAGAGTTACCACAATGACTCTCTGCTCCAAGTTCTAATGGTCCGGGCTCGGTCACAGTCTGCCAACTCCAAACATCCTGCTGCTTCCTGCCTGCCGGACCCTACCACCCCCGACACACTTATACATTCTGATCTGGGCTCTGTGGCAGGCGTTCAGATATCATCAGGCTCCTCTCTGACTCGGAGCGTCACAGTAAAACTGGGTGTTGTTTTTGGAACGAGGCGATCAATGTTTCAAAGCTCTTTCTCCCGTCGTATCAGCATGGAACATTTCAGTGTTTCACGACTGGGAGCATGGCACTGTGTGTGTGTGTGTGTGTGTGTGTGTGTGTGTGTGTCTGTCTGTGTGTGTTTCTGGGGAGCTTTTCATTGGAGGCTCTACAGGTTCACACACGTTGTGCCTGTGTTTCTTGGCTGATTTCAGAGACATCAGTGGGTTGTTTAGCTGTAACTTTTCCTGCAGGAGGTTAGTTGTTAGGACATCTGTTTGCTCTTGTCAGCCCCTGGGCAGAAAAGGCCAATCTCCCTTAAATGTGTGCATGTTTAAGATGCCGTTGTTCAGAGCCTGGAGAATGGGGGTGGGGGGGTTTCTGACCTTCATAGACACACCTGCAGGGCTTGGTGACTTCAAAGGCCCCCCTCTCACCCAAACAGACACTCACATGCTGGGCAGCCTTGGTTAACTGACACCCTCGCCTGGGGCTGGAACTGTCTCCTTTATAACCCCCCCCCTCTTTTCTGTTGTCGCGAAGTAAACACATATACGCCGTATTCTCACTCACACACTCACACACACTCACACACACACACACACACACACCACACTGACTTGGAATGAGTGGGAGGGCGGAAGCTCTTTTTACTTCCTCCTTTTCCGAGTGTTTTCCTTCACCCCGTTTTGTCTTATTCTTTCCACTGGTCTAAAGCTATCTGATTAAAGCCAGCCACTCCTGTCAGGCACCAGCCCCGCTGCACAAGCCGTTAGGAATGTCTGATCTATCCCTCATGTCGCAACTCAAGCTGGGCTCTCCATTACCCACTTGCAGATAAGCACTCGGAGCACTTTAAAGGGTGAAAACTGAGGCAGATAGAAAGATTCTTAAAAAAAGAGTTCACCCAGTTCCCTGCGGCTTTAATTGTACAGGAGTGGGGTGTGTGCAATTTCCTTCCCACACATGGTGTGAGCCAGAAAAACCTCCTCTCTTGTTGTCTTTTTCGTTAACTACTGCCTGAAGAGTTGAATATATATCAAGTAACTGTTTTGGAAAGAGCGACGATCCAGAACATATGATAGTATTTCTTTTGTTCTTTGAAACAAAACACATTTCTCACAATGCCATTTATTTTCTGCAGGTTAGTTTTGGAGATGCCTGTGCCAGTAACAAGTTTACTGAGTCGGGGCAGTGTTGCAGTCTGTGTCCCGCTGGCTTCGGAGTGGAGGCACAATGTGAGAAAGAGGATACCAAGTGCGCACCGTGCCCACCAGGTAAGCAATTATAATCTAATGTTACAGCACCAATATAGAATGTGTTTCACCTGCCCTTTCATTATCTCTGTCATCTTTCCAAAGGGCTGGAAAAATTTACTCAGCACTATGTCTGCTGAGAGACTTTCACTGATTCTGTAATTCGTTTCCCAGGAACATTTTCCTCATCCGAAGGCCTCGGCCCCTGCCTTCCTTGCATCAAGTGTCCATACAGAGCCCCGATGATTTCCTCTTGCTCTGCGGACCAAGACACACAATGTGAATGTGGCAACGGCTTGTTCTTTATGAGAGACCATGGCCTGTGTGCGCCTTGCTCCAAATGCACCCGTGGTGAGGGTGCCGTCCGGCAGTGCGGCCTTCAGGGAGACACCGTGTGCCAGATGTGTGGCCCTGGGACGTTTTCTGAGGAGCGCATCAGCACCAAGTCCTGCCAGGCCTGTACCCAGTGCTCTGACAGCGAGGTGGAGATCCGACCTTGTATGCCCAACTCTGACACACTCTGCATGGGTGAGTTGTGGAGGGGGATGAGAGTGAGAAAATGTAGATTAGACCAAAACCAAAATGAAACGATGCTACCAACAAGTATTCTCTGTGTAGATAAAGGTTGCTATAGTTTATTCACAATGGTAAAGAAATAAAATCCTGGATCTGCCCCTTGATCCAGATCCACACCAAAGTTTTACGGTTTCTTCCCTGAGCCATTCCACATCCGTCCACCAAGTTCTGTGGTAATCTCGCTTGTAGTTTTGTGTTATCTTGCTTATAAACAAACCATCCAACCAACAAACGGACAGGGCTGAAAACATAACCTCCTGGGTGAAGGTAATAAAACATTAAATGCTTAACTTTTTTAAAATGAAGCCATAAACATTCCGTGTGACATATTTCAAATGATTTGGGGTCGAGTGCCACAGAGAGGGCAGGTAAATCAGAGAGCACTGAAAGACTGATGATCCTGGAGTTTTAGTGGGAAAATATAGAATAGCGCCAGTGTTCAAAGATCTAAAGGAGGACAAGGCAGTAAAAGTGAAAGATAAAAAGATAAAAGAATGGGCTCAAGGGGAGGGGGGAGTGGGAGTGCCTGTGAGCCCACGAGGACATGTGGTTAGCACCTGCATCCACACCTCATACGAACACTCTGTAACACTTTAAGCCTGGAAACATGAGCGGCGAGAGAGAAAAAAGAGCGCACTTATGTGCCGTAGTCCAGTTGGTACAAGTTTGACGGGTCTGTAGGTTAACTGACCCCGAGAACCTGAAGCACCAGGGAGGCAGCTGACCCTGACAACTCGTCCGCCTGCTCCCAAATGGCTACATTCACTCTCCAGGAGTAAGGTCATACGCACACGCTCCGAGTGTACATGTCATGACCCTTTGAACCCTGGGAGATCAGTACTGTACCTTGTAGTGTTTGATCCCAAAATAGGTTGACCACAGGAGGGAAGATGAGGCTGGAAACGGGGGCAATGAACAGTTTCAAAACCACAGGGGACCGTTTTGACTGAGGCTATCATTACATCGAGCAGACGGGCCTTCGTCAGTTTATTTCTGGCACTAATTTACACAGCACAAGTGTGTTTCCGATGAGCATTTGTGCACATGCAATAATACTGTAGCTGCTGACACGTCTCTCTTCTTTATTCCCAATAGATAAGAAGCTGCACATTTTATCCCGACCTACTGTGACTGATGGGACCCGGGAAGCTCCTGGCGATGAGGTGATAGAGGGCGAGGAGACCAGTCCTGCTCCTGGAACACCCAAATTTACCCCACAGGATGAGGCTGGCAGCAACAACATTCTGGCCTATGTGTCTGTTCTGGCTGCCGTGGTGCTGGGTCTGCTCATTTATGTGGCTTATAAATGGTGAGTCCTCACCGGGGTTGGGTGCTAGCCCTTAAATGGATGTAATAATGATTTTAAGATTGGCCCTGGGAAGACAAATAGCGTAACTGACACTGTTCTCCTGTGGTCTCCTCAGCTGGAGATCGTGTAAACAGAAGAAGGCTCTCTCTAAGGCCCGTGCGGCTGAGCTGGGATCATCTCCAGAGGGAGAAAAGCTCCAAAGTGACAGCGGGGTTTTTCTGGACTCTCACAGCCTACAGGACAACCAGCTCAGCAAAGGTGGGGTACACAAAGGCTCTTTCAATCTGAATCAAATTAAAGTTACTGAGATTTGAGAAAGTATTTTAACAAGGTTACGAAAACACCTCAGGCTTTATTAACTCTGTGTGCTGACATGCACTTACATGCCTGTGTTAGTTACTGTTAAAAGACTGAAAAGAGGATTAAAGGTAATTCGAAATTTTAACTGACTTTTCAGGTTTTATCAAGACGTTATTTATATTACTTCTTTTGACTTTTTGGTATTTTATAGGAGATTATTGGATTATATCAGAAAAGGTCAATTTCATTTATGGCACAGAGATGACTCTTCTGTCCTCCACTTTCTTTTAAAGGAAGCCTGTTATGTATCTGACCTGTAGTAGTGCTACTGAGCAGTGTCACTACAAACAGATCCAAACTTTGTCTTATGCAAATGCTTATGCAACTTCTAGCTAGCGAACAGGTTTCGAAATACTTAAAAATTTGGCCCTGTAATTTATTTATAAAGAAGAAAATGCTTTCATCATGTTTGTTAGGCCTCTGGGTTAGACTCAGTGGGTTTTGGCAAGAAACAATGGATGTAAACATACATTCGTTTGTTTACAAGAAAATGCCATGGGGCTTCTTTCAGTTCCCAAAGTTTCCCACAAGATAATTGACAGGGAAACTTTCCACTTTTACATCAATTACTTGTGGAACTTGGTATTTCTAAAAAGAGAGATTTCTCATGGGACCTATGTTTTATTATGAATAAGAAATAATAATCATTATGATTAATGATTGTTATCAGTGTAAAGATGCTATCTGGTTAGTTTTGTTTGATAAAGCCAAACGGTGAGCTAATTTTCTTTTTGTTTCAGCAGGAACAAAGACTGACAGCAAGCAGGACGCTCGACTATACATCAACCTTCCCCCCCACAGACAGGAAGAAGTGGAGCGCCTCCTGCAGGAGGGAGGGGGTCGGGGGTGGAGGCAGCTGGGCGCAGCACTGGGCTATGAGCCAGAACAGCTGGACCTGTTTGGGCGTGGAGAGGCCCCCGCTCACACGCTCCTCTCTAACTGGGCCCAGAAAGAAGGCTCCACTCTGGGACTGCTGTGTTCGGCGCTGGCCCGCATCGAGAGGCCCGATGTGGTAACAGGCCTCACCTGTCCCACGCAGGGCGTCTCTGTGGTCTGACCACGTTTCAGCCACAAACGTGGGACAGTCACAGACTCAAGTGAAGAACTCTGGCTGAAATGACATGGGAGGCACTCTTTGATATTAACACACTGCCACTGACAGTTTCATCACCTTGTTGGACACTTATTATTCTGTTGTTTTGTTACATAAAACAAAAAATAGTCTAAGGATACTTTACCCCAGTTTATGTCGCCGTTTGATTTTAAAAGGATCCAACTGCATGAGAGGATCACCTGCAATGTATCTGTTACATCACCATTTGCGATTTGAAAATGGACATAAAATACAACCTGTTTCAACTTAATAATGTCAGAAACTTTGAATGAATCATGGTCAGGACTTCACATTGACGTCCAAATACAATACAATGGTCCACAAGTGACAGGAAACAGAATACATGAGCTGCACGTTCTTCTTTATTTTCAAAAACCACTGTTAATTTGTTATATGGTCATATTTGTCCCCTACTCCGTCAAAAGACAGACTCCCTCCATGTTCAATTGTAAACAAATACACTCGGCTCGGATCATCATGTTTCTAGTCTGGAAAGCCTTTTATGAATCACAACTTCAGCAACCACTTTGGTGTCGCTGTTGATGTTTCTCCAAAAAAAGATGGTTTCTTCCTGCAGCAGTGCTTTCCAGTACGATGTGACTTTCCCTGTTTGGCCTCATTTCTGCGCTCGAGCTCGCTCGGAAAAAAGAAGAAAACTCCCAAGAAAACAAACAAAGCTTTTATGTGGCCGAGTGACTTCTCCAGTAGAAATTGAGGGTTGAATCATCCCAACCAACACAACTTTGACACAATTGTTATTTTCTTTATAAGAACACTTTAAATATTTGTAGATAGAAACTTCTCACTCCTTTTTTTTGCTGCAGCCACTAAGAAGCCTTGGTATTTATGTACACTGAGGATATATCATGCACCAGTGATGTTTCAAATATCAACAGACGTGAAAATGAAGCATAACAACGAAAACACATTTCTTAGCTCTTTCTAATGTTCGTCTATGATTGTAAATGTCCTACGTGTTGATTTGTTGTGTGAGATCACAAATGAACTTTGAAGACGTGAGAAAAGGAATAAAAATCGATCGATTTTCCTTACATTGAAAATACACAGCTCCATTTCTGTCAACTTTATTTTTAAAATTTGACAGAAAAACCCCCCAAAAGAAAGACAATGTTTACCATCAATTCTTGCGTCAATCACGCTTCTGTATTTATTTCATCACCATTTCAAGTTTAAATCCAAATAAAATCTTTGAAAATGACAGACATCTGCGATGTGGTAGTTACACCAGGTGAAGGCCTCAGATGGTTTAATTTCTTTTAAATAATATTCATGTATGTTTTTCTGTATATATTTCCTGATGTTATGCCTCTGTGTTTTTGTAAGAGTTTTATTCATTTAATAAATAACTTTGATAAGTAAGTGCACTGTGGTTGTAACAGGATTCTAAATCTGCACAGTAATTGTAGTTACTTAGAGGTTTGTGAAAGTGCACAGTATATCCACATACTGAGTCAGCTGCAATGAACTTGTTTTAAAGAGGGATTGAAAGGTTGCAACAAATGAAGAGATTGACTAAATTCTAGTTAAACCTAATGGTTAATGTAGGTAATAATTCAGCAGTTCAATAGTTATTAGATGAATTCTGTGGAATAACATTGAAGCAATTGATTATCAGTTAAAACCTAATTGATGGTGAACCAGTTATGATAAATTTAGAAATATGAAATAAATGGATGAATGGCTAAATAACAAATGGCTACATTTTGGAGAAAGTACTTAACATCTGTAATAAAATACAAAACTAATATTTAAAAAATCACTGCAATAGCTGAGATTAGTGGAGTAACGGTTATTTGTTTTTCTAGTTCATAATAGATTAGTAGTTCATGTTGAAATAACTAAATTAAACATTAATAAATAAATGGGGCACCTGAGTTCATGATAAGGAACAACTCACAAACAATTCAGTGTCTCAATAGTTTGATTAATATTGTTTTACTTTATTCTTGTGTCATCCCTCCAATAGAGCCAAAGGGATGACTGTTTAGTTTAAAAGCTGACATTGTTTATATCATTCAGATACTGTGTTTTATGCCTTTGCAGTTGTAGCAACAACAACATGAAGTTTTTTCATGCAATGGCAAGTTTATATTAATCATTCTAAGAAATATGAATATATTTGCTGACCTGGACTTCAACCAGAGGCCTATGGGTATGTCCGACACTAACCATTTAGTGTAAAACCAATTTGATGGACTGCACAACGTGGAAATTTAGGCATATTGGAAATATACTACCCCTTATCGAGGGATTTAGTGCATAACAACATTTCCTATTCAGAACCCTGAGGGAAATCAGTTAAGAGGTATTTAATAATTTCGGAGTGAAATGAAAATAAAAACTTGATCCAAAATATTCTGGAGGAGAAGTTTCCCCTTTCTCTCTGAGGCACAATCTGATTCCTGCTCCCACTTTGCTCTGCACTCAGATCTGTTAATGATCTCTTTGCCTTCAGTTTTAAGTGGGAGCAGGCATCTCTCATGGCCTGGGGCAGCGTTACATGCCGTCACACTCTCCAGACGGGACTGCTTAACTGCGGTCTGGAGCACACAGGCACCGGGCTGCGGAATGTGCATATGCTGGGAAGAGGGTGGGGGGAGCTGAGACTGAGGAGAAAGGGGGAGGCACAGCAGAGTCTCTCTCCACTTGTCATGGCGTTCCATATTTAGAGTGCACATAACGTCTCTAATGAAGGCAGTCGATCACTTTGATTTCCCCTCACAGGGGTCACACATCTGGCTCAACACTGCAAATATGTGCTGCAGTGGCCCTAATGCCATGTGCACCCTTTATTAGAGGAGCGAGCCCATCTAAAATGGGACTGGGTGTGCACTCAGCAGTTAATCATGTGAGAATGGGTCGTCACATTTGCTTAGATCTGTTCGAGTCTGTTAAACTGACACCCAAGAGAAAGAAATCCAACGGGGAAGTGGCTATAATTTTACAAAAAGAGTTTATTATCTTTTAAAATGTTTGTACACTCAGTATGACAATGTGCTTACACAATACTTACAGTAGAGTAGGGTGAAACTTACTTTGTACATAGAAAAATAACAAGAGAAAGAAAACATGGGGAATCACCCCCACCACTGAAATAAAATAAAGGGCTGAGTCAGTGGGGTCCAAAGTTTGACAGAGTGATGTGGTCACTGCATCAGGAGGGCTGAGCTGGTGAGAATAGGTGGGCTCACTGTGCTCCCTGACCCTACTCTCCTGTGTACAGCTTTGGTAATTTTACATTACAATATTTACACTTTCAACCATGAAATGATAGTCCTTTTACAAAGTGTCTGCTTATTTAAACATTCCCAAAACTATTATTCAATATATTCACATATAAAGCAATGTACATATGTTGAAAACTTGTTTAATGCATTTTAATAGGCTGCAACAAACTGGTAACCTAATGCTAGTGAGGCTAAACTTGACCACTGTAAAACGCTTGGAAATTAATCAGTGTCAAACTCGGACCAACAGTGATAAAAAAGAACCGGAACACACAAGATGTTTAGAAAATTGTTAAAACTGCAATGCTTCAACTTTCGAGATAACTCTTATGAGAAGAAAACACAAGATGGGAAAGGAGTTGAACAGGAAATGAGGGAAAATGAATAGACAGTTAAACAGCACACCAAACATTGCATTCAAACCCTGCTCCCATTATTATATATAAATTGATAAAAGACGTGGAAATATGAATCACTAACCCTTCAAACAACCTGCTAGTCACATCTGATCTGTGAAAGTAAAAGCTCATCCTGGTAAGGGCACAGATCTCAAAGCAGGAGACATGGAAAATGTAGGAATTTCCTTAAGGACTGCGCTCTGACCTCAGCCGACATCATGCATTCATGTAACAACACAGGCTCCAGAATCTTATGGTTAAGAAGGCAGGGTTTGAGGAGTGGAGGCTTGGACCTCCACAGCCCAGTTAAAAGCAGCACCAGATACAGAGCCAGTGGCAGGGAAGGGGGCTGTGATGCGCACAATGAAAAAGGAGGCTGTGAGTGGGTGGGCATGAGCTGGACAGTTCTGTCATTGAACCATTTTGGAAACAGCGGAAAGTAACAAAGAATTTGATATACACGATAACAAAGATGATTCCATTGAGTCATCCTCAATCAGGGCTGGAAGAGTTTTAAAAGTGGAATTGAGGTGATCATCTCGAGAACATTTAAGAGCCACAAATGGAAAAAAAACAAACGCTTAAAACCAAACAGTCAGTGAGAACATGAGTCTCTGTAGCACCGCTCAGTGTCGTCCTTTGAGAACACTGCACCTCGAGTCTCGGCTCGTTTGGCAGCACTCGAGTCTCTGACAGTCTCCAGAATGAGTGGGCCCCTGCCGCCTGATCCATGGGGCCCTGGACAGCTCCCCGGACAGCAGGTGCAATTCTTAGTCATAAATACAGCTAAGAAACTACTTCACCATTCAGGCTGGCCAGATCATACATGAAGGGAAAGGCAAATATGTGCTTCTCCTGTGTTAACGCAGAGCATTAGTGTAGCAGCTCTGGCCTCTGAGGCTAGTACACCTCTGTGTCCTCCTTGGGCCTGTACACAGAGCCGAACCTCTGCATGTACTTCTTGATGTACTCCTTGGTCTTGTGCTTCACATTCTCGTTACACTCAAGGTCTTCAGGGTTGTTGCAAGCTTTCAGCTCTTTATTCATTACTCCGTGAGTTAGCTGGAAGATCAGAAACAAAGAAAAACTTAAGACATGTTTCTTATCAAAAGACTACAGTGAATTGGATGAATTCTGTAGGAAACCCTGCGGAGAAAGTGAAAAAATATTCCTAGATCTGCCCATTTATTCGGATCCACACCTAAATTGAATGGGGTTGTTCCTGACCCATATCACATTCATCCACCAAGTTTTGTTGTAGTCTGTCAAAAAGCTTTTTGTAATTCTGCTAACTTAAAGACAGACAAACAAAACAAAAAAAGTAACCTTCTTGGTGGAAATAGATAAAAATGTAATGTTGGATTGTTAATTCTCTATTATTGACTATGCTCTTTAATATTTGAAACAATAAAACATAATCTCTAACCCAGATCGTCTTTTTGTTTATTGTGCCCATGTCCTCAGAGTCCTGGCACGTCAACAAATGCAAACTACTCCTCATATTCACAATCCATGGACCCACTGGGAACCATAGACAAAAAAAAGCCTTTTGAAGAGATGAAATCTGTTGCAAGGAGCTTTTATAAAGGAATGAGTAAAACAAACGAGAGGCAGATAATAGTTTACATGTACAATATGTTTCTAGTCTCTTGCAGAGGCAGAGCACAAAAACATTTGGCTGGAGAGAAGAAATCGTGGGAGCTCAACTATTTAGTTCTGGTTTGAGGGAAACTTTGAAAACTTTTCCTTTTAAGTTAAAAGCTGACCAATACTTCCATTGTGCTTTGGCCACGTAGAGGCCAACAGAAGGTTGAGAGCTTCTTGGGGATTAATGGAAATGCTAACCACTTGTATAAACAGATATATTGTGTCATCGTACCTTTCTAGCCAGGTGTTTGAAGTCTTCTGTGTTACTGATGCGTCCCAATTTGCAGTCTGGCTTCCGATAAGGGTTTAAACACTGCACGATGAACATGGACATCTGAGTACGACACACACACAAATGAGACAAGTACAGAGAATAATATGTCAAAGCAAATTATAACTTGCTTGGGTGGATAGAAGACAGTCACTGCATGATAGGCAAAGGTGGAGAGGTCTAGAAAATCAAAACATCTGGAGTTAAATAACTTCATTGGGAAAAGTGTTGGCAGAGACTCTGGCTCACCTCTTTGCGAAATGTCTCTTTACTCTTTTTAGCCAGTTCACTTGAAGTGTCAGCTTCAGCCGTCTTTGTGGAGAACTGTGACAACATGGAAGCAGAGAGAAATCATTTTAATTAAATGCTTGTTTGGAACTATGTTACTTTGGCTCGTCTTTGAAATTGTAAATTGTTGAAAATTAAATCCCATCCAAATCCACTTTCATAACTTTCTTTTTAGAGAAAGTGGACGACAGAATTAATGTGTCATACATGCAACCCAGCAGTCATTTTCTATAACCATTATACCCACATGTGAGGCTCCACCTGTATGCCAGCTCAATCAAACATGGCGACTGGCTGCAGAACAGTAGCTCTCAATGTCAGTGGGGTATCAAAAAGCACCTGCTCACCAGCCACTTGACAGAAAGCA